ACGCACACGCATGCACACGCACACGCACACACACACATCCATCCACACACAAACACACACACACACATACACGCACGCACGCACGCACGCACGCACGCACGCACACACACACACACACACACACACACACACACACGCGCACGCACACACAGACACACAGACACACAGACACACACACACACACGCGCAAGCACACACATCCACACACACACACACGCACGCACGCACGCACGCACGCACACACGCACACACACACACACACACACGCACACGCACGCGCAAACGCACACGCTTACTCTCACGCTGCCTGGAGGCGGCGCCACGTCCGCCTGGCCCGGAGCGGTGTGGAGCCCTTCCTGCCTCCCTCCCCCGCCACGGCCAACCGCCTCTCGCCGACCCTCTCCCCTCGCCTCTCGCCTCTGCCCTCCCATCCATCCCATGCCATCCCGTCCTGCCCCCCTCCCCTCCTCCTCCCCCTCCCGTCCCTCCCCCCTCCCCTCGCCAACCCTCCCCATGAGCACCCTCCCCTCCCCAGCGCGCGACGGAGGCTGAGAGAGAGAGACAGAGAGAGAGAGAAAGAGAGACAGAGAGAGAGAGAGAGAGACAGAAAAAGGCAACGAGGAAAGGCATTCCGGGGAGGAGTGGGAGAGGAAGGGCGGTAGGAGTAGAAAGACGAGAAAGAGGAGAAGAAGCAGCAGCAGCACGATGTGAAGCAGGAGGAGGCCGAGTGGGCGTCGGGGGACGACAGTGGCAGGGGGGTGGGGGGCGGAAGAGTAGAGTGGAGGGACGGAGGGAGGGACTGAGGGAGGGGGGGAGGGAGAGGATGAGCGGGAGGGAAGGGTTACAGAAGAGGGCCCTCAGTGCGCAAGCAAATGATACATGTTTTGCTCAGGGCGGCATCTTTGGGACCGTCTCGAGCCTCACCGCTGCGCACCAACGAGCCTTTGACGCAAAGGATCGGGATGGCAGCACGCGCAAAACAAGTCAGCTAGTACCTACGAATATTCTCTGGAAGATATCCGCCACCATGCTTGCTGCAAATGGTGTGTGAGAGAGACAAGGAGATAGAGAGAGATAACGTATGTGTGTGTGTGCTTTTTTTTTGGTGTGTGTGTGTGTGTCTGTATGTGCATGTGTGTTGGCTTCGGCCGGGCCGAATCGGTCCCCTCTTTTTCCTGCACGCTTCCACTGCAGCTCTTTCGTTCTGACCACCCGCCCGGCGGGTGCCCGGTGTTAATCGATCTGCGCGTGCCCCGCCGCAGCCATGGCTGCGCTGGATCAGCCAGCCGGGAAGCAAAAGGGCGCGCGTGCCGGTTGCAATATGCGCCGACCTGGCTTGCTTGCGCCTGACAGATTCCTGCTACTGCAATCACGACAGCTGTGGGTGTGTGTGTGGGTGTTGTGTATGCGTGCGAATGTCTTCCCGCCTGCCTGGCCTTGCTGCCTTCCTATCCTCCGCACTGCCCATGGGTTGCCTTGAATACTCTTACTGGCCTGCCGCCGCTGCAACCAACTCCTCTGCGCCACGCCTTCTGGCCTCGGCCTGTCCTCGGTTGCACTGCGCCCCAACTAGGCAAGCGCGTTCCACTACTCGCAAAATCGCTACTCGCAAAAGGCCTGGATCCGCCGTGGGGGACGTACGACATAATACATCGAGGCGAACGTGTGTTTGTTTTGCTCTGACGCTTGCGAGTCGACAGTTTGCGAGTAGTGGAACGCGCTCGGTGACCAGGTTTGTGGATGCCATGGCAGTGGACACTCTAACAATCCTATGAGAGATGTGTTTAAAATGTGCAAAGCGTGTTCTAAACATGTTTCAAACATGCTTTTTTACCATTTTGAAAGATGTTTGAAACAGATCTTAGACATCTGGAAATTACTTGGCAGCATGCTTCCTCTCCATGGATCGTCCTCAACGAACCTAAGTCTTCTTCAGCACGGCTTCCTCACCCCTCGCCGGCTTCCCCCTCGTCGGCCTCCTCTGAAGGGGCCCTGGGACCCACTAATAAATACACACAAATAAAATGTTTCCCCACATTTTCCTATATTTTCTGGGTTTTTGTCTTCCCCCCCACTTCCCATAGTTTCGCATATTTTCTGGGGAATCGACGATTAATTGTGTCTGTGTGTTTCTTCCCCTCCTGATCCTCCTGGTCTTCCGCACGGCTCCCTCCCCCCTCGTCTTCCGCGTGGCGTCCTCCCCGCGTGCCCCCTCGCGGCCGCCCCCCCTCGCGGGTGTTCTGTGCCGGCCGGATCCCCCACGGGCGGGTCCTGGCTCCTCCGTGCTGGCTGCCTGCCAGACCACCCCAACCCAACCCGAAGACCCGAACCTGACTCGAACTTCGGGGTGGGGGGGGGGGGAACGAGGTCCATGTGTTTTTTCAGCGTTCCCCGAGCCCCCCCCCCCCCACTGGAAATGGAGGGCAAACGGGGGCCTTCGGGTTGGGTTGGGGTGGTTTGGTAGGCGGTGACATGCTGCGCGAGCTGGCCTGGACCGCGC